TTCAAACCTTAACAGAGATGGTGTATCTCCGTTGTTATGGCTGAGTTGTAATTTACGTTGTTTAAATGATGTACTGACTCTGAAGTGTTCTTTCCCTTAGCTTTGAAGTGCCAAGGGAAGGTAGCATACTGAGGCCCCTGGGAAGTTTTGTGGTCTGTGTTCCTGTATGCTTTTCTGTCTTTTAACCCTTGTCTCAAGAATGAAATAATAGTGCCAAGATCATACCTCAATCTGGGTGTAAGAATATTTGACTGATATTGTTGAGTTTTGAGGGATTGGTGTTGAGAAGTACTGCTTTATAGCAGAGCTGAGTGAGGCCTGGTACTGTGTGAGGTCTGCCCCAGGACCAGGAATGAGGCTCCCAGTGCCAGCCTTGCACTTTGCAGTCTCCTTGGGCTGATTGTTTTCAGTAATTTTGAAGCTGACATTCTTTAAATGTGGAATTCAAAGGTGTTTTATGTCAAATTTGAAATACAAACTAATTCACTAATGTTGTGGCATCTGCTGTCTTACCAGTACTCCCAGGGTCTTTAAGTAGGAATGATGATAATGTAGTAGTCAGACACTGGCATTCAGTGCAATAAAGAACATAGCAGTGTAAATGGAGGGGTAGGGTTTATTAAACAAAACCACAGTATATTCCTAGTTTGATTCAAGTACAGTGCTGTACGTCTTAATTATGGAATGAAAATAGTTTAAATGTAGGTGGTCTATTTCCACTTCGTAACTGTGAACTTTCAGCCTGAGATGCAGGCTTTCCAAAATAAGCTGGATCCCTGTGTACGTCAAGATATATTTGAGTCACATCCAAATGGAATTGGTATAGAAATAACTAGGAAGGGTAACCCAATTCAGAAACTGGGTAGTAGTTTATTGGCATTGTGATGTTGCTTGAGGGTCTGCAGCCCTGTGGGTGCTCCAGGTGCAAGGCATGGAGGCCTGGCTCCATAGAGGTACTCATTGCTCACTGCGCATCTAGGAAACTCAAGTTCTGGGAAGTGATTTCCTAGCAGCTTTGTCCTACCTATTGACTCTCTTTGTCAAGATGCGCTTCCAGAAGCAGTGGTTTGGCATTCAGGAAAGCAGGAGATGGAGTGAACAGTCCTTGTGGCTGCCCTTGTGTGCCGGAGAAAGGATGGTGCGGGTGTGGCCACAGTGGGAGGCATTCCCATTACCAGTCTGTCCTGTCAGGGGCAAGCTGGTGGGAGCAGTCCAAGCTATTCTGGGAAAATACTGCTTTTGTCAGTAACTTGCAGCAACAACAAAAAAATAAATAAATTCAATGCAACACCAAAAAGATTAGTTCAGACTTGAAAACAGAAGTGTGCTCCTAACCTTATATGCCTTTGCCAATCTTAGAAGAATGGCTAATGTTATTTTTGATGTTAGCACTTGCTAAGTTGCCTTTACATACCCCTGACCTGGGGTAAACTCACTCGCAGTATTAACGTATAAATACTGTTGGAGCTGAGTCCAGCTAGCTGTGAATGTGGCTGGGGGGGGGAGGACCCCGGGGTGTAACTGGATCTGCAGAGCTGAGGGATTGCTGCAGCCTTTGGCAGGATGTCAGACAAGCCTTTCGTTCTCCTGGGTGAGGTGCAGTGCTGCAGTGGTGCTCAGGTCCCACACAGTGTGTTGGGAGTGGTATTGGGAATCGTTCCTGCTCATAATTAGTTTGGGAATTGGAGTGATGTCTTGAGCACATGTATTCCTGATGAGCCTTACCAAGTAAGATGCTTATCAACTGCAACTTGCAAAGTAATCTAAAAACAGCACAGTGACCAGTGACTCTTTCATTTTGCTACAGATCTGTTTAGGGCAGAGTAACTAAATTTGCAACATGAGCACTGTATTAAAGTGAAATCTATCTGGTTATGGGTGGGTTTTTTTTTTTTTTTTGGTAATGTATTTGATATTGTTTTGTTGTTATGTGAACAGGTTGCTTTCATTCACAAGTGGCATCTTGTTGATGAGGGCATTTCTTACTCTGCTGTTAGTGAGAAGATATTCACTCCCTGTTTGTGTGAGAGACTAGAGAGACTACAGCTGCAGAAAAGTCAGATGCATTGAAACTTCTGAAAGATTGGCAGTGACATGAATGCTTTAACGTGTCGTGTGGAATTTCTCTTTTCAGACTCAAGTTATGTTTGTATTCTGGATATGTTACTAAACACTAAAAAAAAATCAGAACAAAAGCTAACAGTTGATGCTGGTATGTGCTTTGCCTAGGGTGCTATCAGGCTGTGCAGAGGCTGAAGGGTAAGCATGTCAGAAGGCAGTCTAAAAGTTTCTGGAGTATTTGTTGTTCTGATGTGTGGTCATATTTTCACACCTCTTGGTACATTTTCAAAAGGGGTGGGAGTTGCTGTTATGTTCAGCAGTATAATTGGAAAAGGGGAAAAAAACCAAAATGCAGTGCAGTACAGCTGCTTGTATGGACTTCTCTGCTATGTACAATGGGCAGCCACTTGTATACATGGTGGTATTTTTCTACCTGTCAGTAGGTCGTGTGTGTTGTGGCAGCAGGAATAATATTTCTGGTGTATTGAGGAAGCAGAGTTCCCTGTGTAGTCTTAGGGGAGAATAATGAAATACCTTGAAGTGCTCCTGTAGATAATTGTCAATTTTTCCCCAAGGTATCTTTGTTTCAGACCTTATTCCAGGAGGGAGTCCTTACATGGGCCAGATGAACATAATACACATGTGAATTCTACAGAGGGGAGTTTTAGTGCAGGGATACATGTCATGAACCAGCAGTGTGCATATGCAGCCCAGAAGGCCAGTGGTATCCTGGTTTCCATCAGCAGGGGGGTGGCAGCAAGGAGAGGGACAGGATTGTCTAAGTGTGGGATCCCCAGCGCAGGAAAGATATGGAGCTGTTGGAGAGAGTGGAGGAGGGCCACGAGGAAGATCTAGGGGCTGGAGCACCTCTTCTAGAAAGACAGACTGAAGGAACTGGCCTTGTTCAGCCTGGAAAAGAGAAGGTTACAGGGAGGCCTTGTTGCAGCCTTCCAATATTTTAAGTGAGCTTAGAAATGTGAGGGAAAACCAATTTTTATGTGGATAGATAATGATAGGACAAGGGGAAATGGTTTTAAACTAAAGGAAGGGATGTTTAGGTTAGATGTCAAGGGAAGGATTTTAACTGAGAGGGTGCTGAGGTGTTGGAACAGGTTGCTCAGAGAGGTTGTGGATGCCCTGTCCTTGGAAGAGTTTAAGGCCAGGATGGATGGGGTCTTGGGTAATCTGATCTAGCACCCAGTGTAGTGGCTGGCAACCCTGCCTGTGGCAGGAGGGCTGGAACCCAATGACTCTTGGAGATCCCTTCCAACCCAAGCCATTCTGTGGTTTCTATGATTTCATTTTATGATTTTTATGATTTTTGCTGTGTATTGTAAGTAGATCTTCTTGCTTTGCAGTAAAAATGTTTATCACTGGTTCAGGTCATTAATTTTCTGCTTTTCTCCCCTCTTGGCTCTTACTTAACACTGACCATTCTCTTTGTTTTAAGACTTTTGTGTCTTGTCTGGGATTAATTTAGGAGTCTTGCTGCTTAAAGCTGTAAGTCACAGCCTGTCTGACCTTTAATGTTTGTGTGTGGGCATACAAGATACAGTACCTGTAAGTTAAGCAACATCGTGCAGATGTGGTACTAACAATCTGTATTCCTGGAATCTACTTCACCACCTCCTTCGGTGAATACAATGCTCATTGTATTCATATGTGAACATCGAATTGCACTGGGCACCTGATGAGTGGGGATAATGTTACGGGACATTTACATATTAACAAAGGAGAGACATTAACTCAGGTGATCTTCAATAGCAGTGTTATACTAACTTTCCAGACTCATGAACACCCTTCATGCAATGGGGCATTTTACTGAGCTTGTTGTTGGGCCTGATTTGATTTTTGAAGCATGAACTATACGTTTTCTGAAGCGTTGTGTGATAGTACTGAATGTGATGGTTGCTTACTGCTGATATGAAAGAGATAGTGGAAAGAATTAGGGGAAAACGGAGGAAGGAGGATGGATTGGGATGCGAAGTGAGAAAGAACAGCAGCATGTATCTCTCATTTCTGATGGATACTGAAGGCACCAATAGCGTTGAATAGATAATTATGGAATAATGTCCCTGTTTTTGTTTAAAAATATTGCTGAAAAAGGAGGAGTTTTGTCTGCACTTGAGACAGATTCTGAAATGTAGTTCTGTTCTCATTAGAGTATGAGTCAGGTATCCTCCTTGTTTACGCTGGCAAGCTGTCCTAAAGCTACATTGTGTTATGTTGAGTAATTCCATGAGCTTGTGTTTTGAGATCACGTGAACCAGTAGTGGGACAGCATTATTGCTGCTTCGTTGTAGTACCTGCTTGCTTAATTGTTCTATGTATCTGATCTGGTCTAGGAAACACTGATGATTGGGGTAATATTAAGTGCCAGTGTGGAAACAATTGTTCTGGTTTGAATTGTCATTGACTATCTTGTTTCTACTCAAAGAAAATCCTTGTGCTACGTTGGTTGAAATAATATCATAGAGGGGAACTGAAAGGTATTTTGGGAAATCATTGGGTCCATCCCTGACTTTCAGAAAGGTTCTGCTGTACTGAAGTCATTACTGGTGGCTGTTTTCTGTAATAACAAAGTGCATTTCTGCTGACAAAGGTGCCACAGCTCCTTGTGGCAGTCTTTTCTGGTGGTTAACTGTGCAAACATCCATAACATTTATTTTCAGTATTTAATCGGAGTTAGTCTTGCTGTAGTTTCAGCTCTTGTCAGTTATTATTTTTAGGATAAGCTGTTTTTCATGCAGAGTTCTTTATTTTAGCACTTCATCTACCTCTCTAGTAAGTTGACCAGATAACTTCTAAGGTTCTATCTAATAATTTGTACACTTAAGTATTATGATATTACAGTTAAATTTCTTTATATATTTTGTAATTTCTAGATTTGTTATAAAATGTGAAAAATGGTAAAACTGTTTATCTAACTTGTCAAACAGGTTGAATCATTTATTTTGGACCAAGAAGATCTTGATAACCCTGTACTTAAAACCACATCAGAGTTGTTCTTATCGAGCGCTGCAGAAGGTGCGGACTTGAGAGCTGTGGATCCAGAAACACAAGCAAGACTAGAAGCCTTACTGGAGGCAGCAGGTACTTTATTTGTGTATTATTTTACTTTTTTTCTGAGACTAATTTGCACACAGGCCTGGCAACCTGTACATTTTGACCCTAGTGAAGTCCAGAAATTTACTGTGATGATGTGAAGCTGAGCATAACAATGAGCTCATAATTCTTACAGGTGCTGAAGGTTTCTTGGTTCACTGTTTCTGTATGCATAAGGCTAGAAAGGTTCATTTGAAGTGCTATTTCACTGACCAGGTGTCATTACATGTGTACCAGAGGGAGGGTTACGGAGGAGAGAAGGGTAGGAAACAGACTTGCTAAAAACAGTATTTTTCTTTGTGCTGCTTTGTTCAATATATAACTATTAACAAATTACTCCAGAAATTTAGGGATGAAATAGAAGTTACTGTTTGAGTTTCACAAAAATCTGTTTTGATTCTCTAGGTTTGTGATATGGATTTTGAAAAATACAGACTTAATGTTCCTGTTACAGAAACAGATTAGATAAAAACAGTGCTGCTTACTTACGTTTGTTTCTTCTATGGTAGAGCTTGATTAATGAAGTCTTTCCAAATCTTATGTCACAGATATTTACAGTGAAATTGGAAATGACTTGTCTTTCAAAAACTGAAGGACAAAAAGTTGTAGAAACGCTGCTTTGAAACAAATCCCATTTGATTGTTATGCATATATATTCAGAATATTTTGACCAGCCTTAGGAAATAGATAAAGTAGTATTTATTTGCAAGTGTTTAGGCGTAAAGCTATCTACAGTCTTAAAAAACTTCAGGATGAGGAAACAAAGGGAGCAAGGGATTTGCTTTGCATTTTGAATGTAAAAAAATATATATTTATATACCTTTTTGTCAGCAGAAAATTGCAGCACCTTAATTAAAGGTGGACCTCTAAAATTAATCAAACTGGGTGTAACTGTTGTGGCTCAAACTTTGCTTTGCAGGGAAGATAGAATATATCTGGGATTTTCTGCACACTCAAGAATATTTGTGTAATGGATCCTTTTTTTCATTTAATGAAAATCAGTCGCAGTTCTTCTCAAGTTCCTCTCAGGTACCTGATGGCTGATGTGTCCTAAAACCTACTGCTAGCTTTATAAATTGTCAATGGCTAGTGTTGTAAGCACATACATCAACTACCCTCACCTCTTACTCTAAGGTTACATCTAAGTTTGCAGTGTTAAAAAGGATTTCACATTTTTTGATATACATGCGTGTATATATATATATATATATAGAATGTATCACTGCTTTTTATTATGTCTGTGAGACTGCTTCCTTTAAGTTTCTAGATAGCAGTTTGCTGCTTGTCTACAGGATTAGATGATTCATTTTTAATCCAAGAGTCCATGCTTTGATTTCCTATACTACTCAGAGATGTAGACAGTGGACAGAACAGAAAAGTAAACTTGTCAGAGGGCTTTTTGTGGGCTCCATCTCCTTCTCAAATAGACAGGACAAAATTCATGCCAGTTGATCAGTTGATGAGTGTGTGAGGTTGAAAGACCTAAAGCACTCATGAAGAAATCCACCAATTAAGCATTTCTTGTCTGTACCACTGTGAATTTGAACACTGAAAATATCTGAACACTAAAAATATTGAAAGAAAACACTGAGGGCCTAGTAGCTTATTGATAAAAGCTGTACAGTGAAGGTGACTAGAAAATAAGCTTGTGCTTCTGGGAAATGTTTTAGATGTTTTTGCAGGGGTTTGCACTCATCTGAGTAATTTGGCTGAAAATACCCTTCCAAGCCTTAAGTAAGGTGTTTAGGCACAACAAACCAAACAGCTTACTGCTGTGGTTTTGTTTTGCTATTTGACAGTAAAGGCAATTTCTCTTGTCACTTTAGTGACATTTTAGTCATATTTTATTTTCCTACAGTAAGTATAGCTCATTTAAAAAAAAATATATAAAAAGTGACAGCACTGCTGCTGGAACAGGTAGTTTAGTTTCAGTTTGTCTGATGTTGTTTCCAAGATCCTTGGCCTTCATTGCTGTGATTCCTCTCTCCTGTGTGAAGCTTGATCCTAACTTGCAACAGGGAGAACAGGTGGTCATGCATACGATGTCTCAGATTTGAGTGTTTTTCAGATGCATGGTTCATGGCTGTGGCCTTAGGATCTTAAGTTTTGACTTGCAAAACTAGTTCTGCTTATTCTTCCAGAATTCCTTAATGCACAGATAACATGTGAATGTTGGTTGTTGTTAACTCTGGGAACTAAGTAGCAACTGCAGCCAGACAAAATATTCTTTTTTAAGTCACTTACACAGGAGTTTGGTTTTTTTCCGCCAACCATTCCATGCTTCTTACTACAACCTGTGTGTGGTTTTTGTAGCTGTTTTGATTTGAGATCTGATTAGCCTGTGTATGGAGATGTAGAGGTCTTATTTGGTTGAACTGCCTAAAAGTGTTTCTATATATTGTATTTAGCTATCCTAATAGCTTAGTTTTTCTTCAGTTTCTCTTTTCAAGGTGACTTAACTTCTGAAAAGCATAATATTTTGTGTGGCAACAGCTTTAACTACAGTTTGTAGTGTGAGGGCTATGTTTAATTCCCCTTTGTTAAAACAAAGCAGCAAATGCACACACACACACACTAATGCATGCAGGCAAACAGCAGTTCCTTACATTTGCTAGGGCCTCCAAAAATCTGATTATTAGCTTCAATTTCAACAATGAAGCTTCCTTTTGTAATCTGCTTGAGCAAAGCATAGGCACTTTGTTAATGAAAATCCATCTGTAAAGAAAAATGTTCGAGATACAAACTCGATGCGCTAACTTTAAATTCTGAATTCTGAGAGAGACCTTACTGTTCTAAAGTTATATGTTTGTTTTCATTTTTGGGAAAAGCAACTGAATCCAGTTGTTCGGGAAGCTCTTCTAAATAAGCCAGGGGTTCTGAGTGTATACAGTTCTGACTGTTAGTAGCAAGGAAGGATTTATAGCTAGAGTGAACCTATGGAAAGAGATCAGTGTTTGGAGATGTTTCAGTTTTTAGACTGTTATTAAATTGATTCTTTGTATTCTGATGTTGGATTCATGTTCTGAAACATTCAGCTCCATTGCTGAACATTAGGGCAATGTTGATCTCTTAAAATAATATTTCAGCTCTAAAAAATAATGCTTCTTTTGTGGACTGTCAGTGAGGTTGCATATTAAATTTCTTTTTTTAGAGATGATAGTTGGCAGCTGGGTGATGAAAGCTCTTTGTGCTGTGAATGAATGGGTTTTAACGTTGGTGCAGGAGTCCTTTACCCTTTTTAATCCATTCTGGTGCCTTAGAAGGAACAGAGCTCCTGCTTTTGGTGGATTCCTCAGTGGTCCCTAGCCGTGTTTTCTTAGCAGGGCAAACTAATCCCCAAAATAAGAGCTGGGGAATATTTGGCAGATAAAAGCTGGTTTGTGTTCTGATCCCTCCTTTCGTAGGTATCAGGAATGGAAAATGGCTTGCTTATGTAGTGCAGTGCTCTCAAGAAGTGTACAAGTTTGTCCTTAAAGAGAAGGATACTGGTTGAGTAGAAGTCCTGGTTGCCTATTTGCTGTATCCTGCGCCTGAAACATGGAGTACCATGGGAAGTTTTAAACCATCAAAATGCCAATCCCTGCAGTTGAAGTACTCCGTTTATAGTGTTTCAGTATGGCATTGCTGAGCTTTTTGGTAAGCAACATAGAATGCTCCTGAACAGTTTAATAACTTGAGTAACATGTTCCCTATTGTTCTGAATTTATTCAAAAAAGAGATACAGAAGAAAGTGGTAAATATATATAATATATATTTTCCTAGTGTTAGAGTGCTTTCTATTCCTGAGAGTTATCAGAACTCAACTAGTTGTATTCAAGGAGACAAAACTAACTGCCCCTTGCCATCTTGTTGTTTAGTTGGCACATACTCTTCATACCGGGGTGGCTCTAGGGTCCTGGCTGCAGGTACACTGGCACTTCTGATGTAGACTTGTGAGTACAGGTTTGCTCAGGGCTTGTAATAGGCTTGTGTTGGAAAATGGCTTGTTCCAAAGGCGGCCATGAAGGTGATGGAAATGTCTCTCTGTGGAGAAAGACTGAGGGAGCTGGACTTGTTCAGCCTCAAGAAGAGGAGACTCTGGGGCGACCTTTTTGCGGCCTTCCAGTACCTGCGGGGAGCTTATAATCAGGATGGAGAAAGACTTTTCACATGGGCAGGCAGTGATACAACAGGAGAGAATGGTTTCGATCTCAAAGGTGGAGATTTAACTTAGAAGGTAGGAATTGGCTGTGGTGTTCCATCCCTGGAGATGCCCCAGGCCATGGATGGGCCTGGGCAACCTAAGCTGGGGAGGGAATAGACAACCCATGGCAGGGGTGGGGTCTGGGGGCTCTAAGGACTCTTCCAACCCAAATATTCTGTGATTTCATGATTGACTTCTTCAGAAATCCTACTATTAGTTACAGGGACAATTGTGAGGAAGATCAGAGTCATTTGGAGAGGGACCATCTTCAAAGGTTTGCTAAATGTAACAGATGCAAGTAGTCCATCCATATGCTCAAACAGGAGTAGAGTTGTATTTCAACAGAAAAGAAGGATGTCTGGATATGACAAAAGGTGACTAGAGACCCTCATGCAAATGAAGTTTTAGTGTGCTTGAGATTTTGGGAAATCAAATGTAGTGTAATTCTATTAAAATAAATGGTCAAAGAGAGATTTCTTTTGTATTTTTTTTCCCCACAAATGTCTGTTAATACAACAGGTGTGCCTTTACTTGAGGCAGTGGGCACATAGTGCAACACAGGTGTTGCTTCCGACTGTCTGGCAGCACTGCTGTGCTGTGCAGGTGGCAGAGTGCTGGCACAGACTGGAGATGCTGTGGGGTCTCTTCCTGGGACATCTCTGAAGCTGAATGGATGCGGTGCTGAATACCCTGCTCTGGGTGGCTCTGCTGGGGCCTGGCTGGGCCAGATGGACCCAGAGGTCTCCAACAGCCTCAGCCATGCTGTAGTTCTGCAGGATCTTGGTAGTTGATTTGGAAATGGGAG